CGGAAGGGCATTTCTGCCCATCTGCCTCCGTTTTTTAAAGTTTTTCCTTAATAAATGTATTTTATTTTTTGTGTATAGGGGTGTTTTGCTTGCATGTATGCTAAGTAAGTGCCTGGTGCCTTTGGAGTTCAGAAGAAAGTATCAGATCCCTGGGATTGGGGTGACAGATGGTTGTGAGCCGCCATGTGGGTGCTGGGAACTAGAGCTGGGTCCTCTGGAAGTCCAGCAAGTTCTGGGGCTGGAGAGATGGCTGCTCTTCCAAAGGTCCTGAGTTCAATTCCCAGCAACCACATGGTGGCTCACAACCATCTGTAATGAGAGCTGGTGCCCTCTTCTGACTTGCAGGGATACATGCAGGAAGAACACTGTATACATAAAAAATACATTAACTAAAAAAAAAAGCAGCAAGTGCTCTTAACTGCTGGGCCAACTCTCCAGCCCTAGTCTCCATTTTCCAAAACGTAATCCAAGGTACATATTAGGTACAATATATTTTTTTTTTTTTGGTTTTTCGAGACAGGGTTTCTCTGTATTGTTTTGGAGGCTATCGGTCCAGCCCAGCCTCGAACTCAAGGTACAATATATTTTGTCGTTTGTTGTTGAAACAGGGTCTCCCGTGGCCCAGGCTGGCTCCTAACTTTCGATGTAGCTGAGGATGACCTTGAACTCCTGATCCTTCTGCCTCTCCTTCCCAGGTGCTGTAGACTGTGATTGTACACCACCACCCCGGGCCAATAGTTTTCGTTCTGCTTGCTTTCGTGAGCTAGCAAAGGCTGGTTTTAAAGTTGCCTCTTTTCCTGCCACAGCCTCTTGGGTCCCTGAGCAAATGGTTTCACAGGTTTAAATTTGACATGAATCCCAACTGACCATAATGAATCTTTTCAAGGATGTGATCTCTTTCATTTAAAAAAAATCGTGTGGTATGTGTGTGTGTGATATACGCATGTGTGTATGTGTGCCTGCTTCCACATACACAGATGCAGCGCAGTGTCCCCGCATGTGTGTGAGGAGGCCAGGCGTAGAGATCAAACGTTCACCTTATTTATTTATTTATTCATTTATTTATTCGTTTATTTATTTAATTGCTTAGGGTTGTTTTTTTTTTAATGTGTGTAGGTGTTTTGTCTGCTTGTAGGTCGGCACGCCATGTGCATGCCTGGTACCTGTGGAGGCCAGCAGGGGGCGTCAGATCCCTCTGGACCAGACGGTAGTGTGCTGGGAACTGATCCCACACATCTTCTGCAACAGCAGCCAGTGCTCTCAAAGGCTGAGCCACGCCCTCGGCCCCTCCACCTTATTCTTTGAGGCAGGATCTCCCAGCAAACGGAAGGCTCCCAGTCTCCACCAGAGTGGCTCGCCAGCCAGGGAGCCCCAGGGATCCACCGGCGTCCATCCCTCTAGGGTTACAGGCGGGCGCTCACAGCCACACCTGCCGTGTATGGATTGCTTGGCGCACCTGGGGCAGCTCAGCTCCCCAGGCTCGGGATGGACTTCTGTGCCCTAGAGACGCCATCTTTAATAGCGGTCCACTGAGTGGCTGGCAGGCCTTTGCTGTGGGTTACAGCGACACGTGAGATATCTCAGTCTGTCGCCCCCGAGCCCACAGGTCACAGAGAGGAGGGAAAAACAGAGAAGCATACAGTAAACCCACAACGACGATCCCTGGGAGCTGCTGCCAAAGGGAGAAAAGCACAGGGCGAGCTGGGCGTGGCGGCACACACACACACACACACACACACACACACACACACACACACACACACACGCGCGCCTGTCAACCCCCTACTCCGGAGCTGAGAGTCTGAGGCCAGCCTTGGCGACCATCTCAAAACGAGAGAGGTGTTGAGGGTGAACATCGCATCACGGGAGTGGAGCGAGGCTAGGCTGGAAGGCGCTGGAAATGATGGAGGGGGGGCACGGATGGGGTTGAGGGGTGTGTAGGAGCTTCCCTCCTACGGATGGGGTTGAGGGGTGTGTAGGAGCTTCCCTCCTACGGATGGGGTTGAGGGGTGTGTGGGGTTGAGGGGTGTAGGAGCTTTCCTCCTACGGATGGGGCTGAGGGGTGTGTAGGAGCTTCCCTCCTACGGATGGGGTTTGAGGGGTGTGTAGGAGCTTCCCTCCTACGGATGGGGTTTGAGGGGTGTGTAGGAGCTTCCCTCCTACGGATGGGGTTGAGGGGTGTGTGGGGTTGAGGGGTGTAGGAGCTTCCCTCCTACGGATGGGGTTGAGGGGTGTGTGGGGCTGAGGGGTGTGTGGGGCTGAGGGGTGTGTAGGAGCTTGGGACCGATGCTCCAAGGCCGTGAAGGGACATTCTTTGGGTGAGAAAGGAACGGGAGGTGGGGATAGGGTCTAGCAGATACGAGGGGTACTTGTAAGAAGCGTGTGGCTTTGTCTTAGAGGCTGAGGTGGGGGTATGGCTAAGGGATGGGGGAGAGATGGACAGGGTCAGATGTGGGATTCGGGACACGCTGTGGCTGCTGAACGGGAAACTTGTAGGAAGAACTCACAGACTCAGGCCACCCAAGGAGGGACCCACAGCTGGGGTCCAGGTGGCAGAGGACAAGACAGGACCAGGGAAAGGTTGTGGAGAGAGAGAGAGCCAAGTACGAGAGAGGTTTGGAAAACCGAGTTCTCCACTGACCCTTCTAGTGCCAACTCCATACAGCTAACCCACGTTGATTTCAAGGCCCAGACGGGTGGGTGGGTCAGATGCCGGGGCGCCACTAAAGTAAGACACGGAGGGTGATGGTTAGGGGTGGGACCCTGAGCGAGCATCTGGAGAGCTCGGCGTTCATCCTCAGGGCAGTGGCGAGTCATGGCTAGAGACAGGGTTAGCCACGGTTGCGGGGGTGGGGGGTGGGAGTGGGGGGGGGTCCTGTCTCAGAAACATCCTCCTAGAGCCCATGCAAGAAACAGGTTGGAGGGAGGGGGAGCAGAAGTAGAAGAAAGTGGATGAGGGGGAGAGACACCAGGAGGCAACACGGAATTCTGAGATCATCAAAAAAACAATTCCCCAGCTGGAGAGACGGCTCAGCAGTTAAGAGCACCTGCTGCTCTTCCAGAGGACCCAGGGTTCAATTCCCAGCACCCACATGGCGGCTCACAACTGCCTGTAACTCTAAGATCTGACACCCTCACACAGATAAACATGCAGGCAGGACACCAATGTGTATAAAATAAGAGTAAATAGCCAGGTGGTGGTAGCGCATGTGTTTAATCCCAGCACTTGGGAGGCACAGGCAGACGGATTTCAGTGAGTTTGAGGCCAGCCTGGTCTACAGAGTGAGTTCCAGGACAACCTCCAAAACAATACAGAGAAACCCTGTCTCGAAAAAAAAATAAAGTATTTATACATATACACACACACACACACCCAGTCTCCCTGGCTAGTGGAGAAGAGAGTTAGGTTAGGTTAGGTGCTAGGGGCCTTCTGAACACACCCTCTCTGGCAAACACTGGAGGCACAGTAGACACGCTTCAGAGCCAGAGCACTGGCCCCAGATCTGCAAGGGCTGGATACAAGTTTCCCTGAGGAGGAAGGAGCAGGCAGAGCAAGTGCAGACAGAGACAATGGGATGCCAGAAATCCCGGGCATCTCGTCAGCTGGACTCCCCACGTGCAAGGAACTGCAACTGCACTTTGACCTAGATCCGGCTCGCACTCCTCGCCCGCTCCCATCTTACAGCTAGACACACTGAGACCCGGGAGGGGGGAGAGGAGTCTGCCCACCGCCCCCCACTGGCCCCTCTGTCCCCCGCTGCCCCCCCCCCGATGTCCCCTGCTGCCCCCTCTGCCCCCCACTGCTCCCCGCTGCCCCCTGCCCCCTCTGCCCCCCTGCTGACCCTCCCTACCTCCCACTGCCCCCCTCTGCCCCCCACTGCTCCCCACTGACCCCGCTGCCCCCCTCTGCCCCCCCGCTGCCCCCCACTGGCCCCCGCTGCCCCCACTGCCCCCCTCTGCCCCAATTGGCCCCCGCTGGCCCCCACTGGTCCCCACTGTCCCCCGCTGCCCCCGCTGGCCCCTCTGCCCCCCCACTGCTCCCCGCTGGCCCCCACTGGCCCCCCCTGCCCCCCAGTGCCCCCCCCGGAGTCCCACGGCTCGGACAGAGCTGTCATTCCCACTCAGTCGGCAGCCGCCTCTGGGTCCCCGTTTCTGTGTTCAAGTGGGCTCTGGTGGGTGGGTGTGAGCATTGATGTCACCCAGGGTCCGCCTGCCTGTCCAGCAGTGACCTTCTGTCTGTAAGACTTCTCCAGCGTGCAAACACCTGACCCAGCTCATCGGATGGTGTGTGTGGGCAGGCAGCACGCCACTGCGTGTCTCCACCTGCCCCAGCTTCTGTGTCAATGCCATCAGAGAGAGAGCGAGAGAGAGAGAGAGACAGAGACAGAGAGACAGAGAGAGAGACACGGAGAGACAGAGAGACAGAGACAGAGAGAGAGAGACACGGAGAGACAGAGAGAGAGAGGGAGAGAGACAGAGAGACAGAGAGACAGAGAGAGAGAGAGAGGGAGAGAGAGAGAGAGAGAGACACGGAGAGATGGAGAGACAGAGAGAGAGACAGAGAGAGAGACAGAGAGAGAGAGAGAGAGGGAGAGAGACAGAGACAGAGAGAGAGAGAGGGAAAGTCCTTGTTCACGCTGAGTGTGAGGGGAGTGAAGGGAGGCCTGGGAGGCTGGGCTGAGGGTGGAGGCCCAAAAGGGGGGGGCGTCTCGGGCTGAGAGGAGTGGAAATTCTGCAGGAATGTTTACCAGACCCTGAGAGAGTCCGGGGGACAGCGCCCATTCTCCTAACTCAGCAGCCCAGGACGGCCCCCAGCCACCATCAAAGGTCTCCTTCCACCTCCCCAGCCTCGCGCCAAGGCGCCAAGGCTCCTTTAAGACGCGGCCGATCCCGCACTCTTCTCCTTTAGTTAACCCCTCCGAGGCCCAGTGGCCCCTGGGCCGGGGCCCTGGTGGGCGGAGGCAGAGGGGGAGCCAGGGGCGGGGAAAGAAGTCTGGGAGGGAGAGAGCGAGGCCGGGTAGCCGGGAAGGCGGCTTGCTGCGGAGGAGTTGAGCCAGCCGGAGGGGCTCCCGCTGTGCCAGGCGGGCAGTGCCAAATCCCAGGAGCCCAGAGCTGGGGGGAGGGCCGGGGACAACCCGGCCCTGCCCCCTTCCCGAGAGAGGTGCCCATCAACTTGGGAAGAAAAGTTGGGCATCGATCGCAGTCGCGGTGCCCCGAGGATGGGCAGGGTCCCGCTGGCCTGGTGCTTGGCGCTGTGGTGCTGGGGGTGTGCAGCTCCTAAGGGTGAGTGATGGGGGGCTCGCCCGCTGATGGGGCGCTGGGCAGGGGGTGGGGGGTGGGGGCTGGCTGGCAGGTGTTCCGGGGTGCTGGGCTGGTTTCTCGGGAGTTTCCTTGGGACGGCAGAGAGCTGACTTGCGGCGGGGAGGCAGAAAGATACAAACTGGGGGAGGGTGGGGGGGAGGGAAGGCAACTGAGGGAGGAACAGAAGAACGCGAAACAGAAACTGGGAGGGCCAGGGACAGAAGATGGACCGGGCAGAAGGACAGAGGGAAGAAGCTAAGGGAGCGCTGGGGGCTGATTAATCCAGACGGTGGGGGAGTGCAGGAAAGAATCTTTCTGGGACAACACAGAGGCAGGCTTGGGAGTCCTGGGCCCCCTTGTCACTGCTGGCCCCCTCCACTGCTGCTGGAGTGTTTCTCTCTGTCTCTCTCTCTCCTCCTCCTCCTCCTCCTCCTCCTCCTCCTCCTCCTCCTCCTCCTCCTCCTCCTCCTCCTCCTCCTCCTCCTCCTCCTCCTCCTCCCCTCTTTCTTTTCCTCTATCTCCCAGCCCAGACTGTGAAGTCCCTAGAGACAGGAATGGCAGGGACCGGCCTTGCCATGCAGTCCAGGGCGTGGGAGGCAGCCAAATCCAAGGCCTTCCTCCCAACAGACTGGACATGGGATGGAAGCCGGACCTCAGTCCCCTGGGAAGACTCCCATCCTCCCCAAGTGCCTCTACCCCCTCCCTCCTCTGAGATCATTCTACAGCTACAGCTACGTAGGGTCCTGGCATCGGTGGGCAAACAGAGTGTCGAGGAGTAACGGACTGTGGGACGTTTCCTAAACCCACTCCTCCTTACCATCTCCCCAGCAGACACCCAGACTGAGGCTGACAGCCCGTTTGTGGGGAACCCAGGGAATATCACCGGTGCCAGAGGACTCACAGGAACCCTTCGGTGTGAGCTCCAGGTTCAGGGGGAACCCCCTGAGGTGATGTGGCTTCGGGACGAACGGGTCTTGGACCTGGCTGATAACACCCAGACCCAGGTGCCTCTGGGCGAAGACTGGCGAGATGAGTGGAAAGTTGTCAGCCAGCTCAGGTGTGGCACCCGGCCCTGACCGGTGAACTCCGTGCACATAAGGCCCCTGGGCAGTCGCTCCACCTGGGTTGGGAATCTCCACTAGACCGCTCACTGGCCATGCGGCTCTGAGCTTGTGATATGACCTCTGGGTTTCGTTTTCTTCTTCTGTAAAAATGAGTTAAAAATAGTGCCTGTTTCAGCCCTCTCTGGGTTTCCTGTCCAGAGCCCCTCTTTCGGTTCTGCTGACCCTCCCGGTGTCCAGCCCTGACCCCAAGCCTCTCTGTCCCTTCTCTGCCCTTCCAGAATCTCATCCCTGCAACTTGCAGATGCGGGGGAGTACCGGTGCATGGTGTACCTGGGGGGACAGACCTTCCTCTCTCAGCCTGGCTTTGTGGGGCTGGAAGGTGAGGCCTCGCGTCAGAGCTTCTGAAGGGCTGGCGGGAGACAGGGAGCTCAGTTCTCCATCAGGACATAAAGCCTAGAGCTGTAGGGAATCTTGGGGGTTGAGGATGATTGTGATGGGAGGGGCATAAATTATGTTGGGAGCAGGTCAAAGGGAAATTCTGTGTCCCAGAGGGAAAGACATTTGAGGAGATTTTGGATGTCCTGGGGGGGTCAGATATACTTGGAGTAGGATATGCTAGGGGTCAGAGACACGTGACTTAATTCTCCCATCACTCCAAGTATGTCATTTCTTCATCGGCGATCACACATAAACCGCCACACTCAGGAGGCTGAGGGAGGGGGAATCTCTGTGAGTTCAAGGCCAGCCTGGTCCTACACAGGGAATTCCTAGACAGCCGGGACTGGGTAGAGAGATCCTGTCTCAAATACAAACAACAACAAAGAGAGTGAGAGAGCGGAAAGAAGGAAGGGGAGGAGAGGGGAGAGAAAAACAACCAGAGAACAGGTGACAAGAGGTGAGAAGAGGTGAGACTCTCACATGATCTGGAAATTGTCCAAGGTGTCAGGCACAGGCTGAACCAGATGTTGGAAGCATGGTCCTAGGCGTAGAAGCATAAAGGACCAGACATCTGAAGGCGACTCGGTGTGCTGAGGGACCAGTTACAAGGGACAAGTCAAAGACCCTGCAGGGTGGCTCTAGTGTTTAGCAGCTCCAATATCCTACTGATCATCTGGTCCCTAAGAGGTCCGGAGGGAAACTCATTTTCTACCACCAACCACCCAGGTCTCCCGTACTTCTTGGAGGAGCCTGAGGACAAAGCTGTGCTGGCCAACACCCCCTTCAACCTAAGCTGCCAGGCCCAGGGACCCCCTGAGCCCGTGAACCTACTGTGGCTTCAAGACGCTGTTCCCCTAGCCACCGCCACCGTCCCAGGCCACAGCTCTCAGCACAGGCTCCAAGCCCCAGGTGAGTCCAAGAGCCGGGGCCAGACCAAGGCAGGGGACTGAGGGCCCTTCATCCGCTGTGGCTGTCCACGTGTCCCTGGACTCTGCTGTGACTCTTTCGAATGTTCTCCATCCCTGTTTCTCCATCCTTTCTCACTGCTTCTCTGTGAGTGATTCTGTTCACCCCAGCCTCTCCCTGAATAGCATTCTTTGTCCCAAATTTCCTCTAAGCTTGTCAGTGGCCCAAGTGTGTAGGCCTGCGGCTCCTTTGTTAGCCCCTGACCCAAGCAGGGCATCAGAACCAACCAATACCCTCCTCCATCCACCTCCTGCCCTGAAGTGTCCCCTGGGCCTCAACCAAGGGCAGGGGGGGGTCTCTGCTCAGCAGAGGTGTCCTGGCAAAACAGAGTCCAGGGTGCCCTGAGGGAGAGGAAGGGAGCAACAGAGAAAGACAGTTGGGGAAGGCATGATGGAGACTCATGCCTGTAATCCCTGAACTGGGGAAGCTGAGGCAGAGAGCTGTCACCTGTCTGAGGTCTGTCCAGATGACACAGTGAGTTCTAGGCCGTCCTGGGTTGCAGTGGGGGACCCTGTCAATAAAGGGAATTAAAGGGTGGAGGATGTTGATCGTTTGCAGGAAGCCCTGGGTCCACTCAGAGCACCCCACACTTGGTGGTGCACGCCTGTAATCACAGCAGTTGGGTGGCGGAGGCAGCAGTGCCACAAGTTCCAGACCATCCTCAACTACCTATCAAGGTCAAAGCTAGCCCTGGCCACGTACAAAGTTCGAGGCTAGCTTGGGCTACAGATGACCTTGTCTCGTGAAAAAAATAAAAATCAGGGGCAGGGAGGAAGGAAAACTAAAAGAGAACAGGCCACGGAAGTGACCTAGCATGGAGAGACATATGGTAATATGATCTGAATGATGGGACCCCTATTTCAGAGTGACCCTCCCTTTCTGTGCTATACAGATGGGGCATTTTGCTCCGGGTCACATGGTCGTCATAGACATGGCTGGGGGACCATGTACATAGGGTGTCCCCAGCAGAGAAGAAGGGACAGAGGCACACACATGGGGGCAGCTCATCATGGGGGACAGCCAAACCCTAAGGGTGGCAGCTTCCTAAAACACCCCTTGCTGTCTCCCGGGGAAGGTGAGGAGAGGGGTCTTCCAGTGTGGAGAAGAGGGCTCACATTCTCAGCATTCTGGGAGCCCTGAGTGTGCACGGAAGTGTGATGAGTGTGCCGGCCCCCAGAGGGGTGACTCAGGCCTGTGGCTCGAGTGGTCTGGTGGGAATCGGAGCGGGGCCTGAGTCAGCCTGGGCTGGACAAGGAGGGGGAGGGGAGAAATGGGTCTCGCAAGTGCCAGGGGGTCTCGTGTGTGCTGTGACCAGGACAGAAACGCCTGCAAAGAGGTGAGGAACTCCGAACGTGTCTGCTTGGGAAGGGGGCGTCTGCACATGTAGCCTCGTCTCCCTGGACCAGCATCAACTGCTTTATAGGAGAGTCCGTCTTACTAGGGGCCGGCTTCTGTGGCTTTCCGAGTGCGTTTCTGGAGGTGTCAACCTGGACTTCTGTTTTCCCTGTGTTCTGCCGTATGGGCTGTTGACGCCGTGTGTGTGAGACCAGCGCTGTTGACAGCGCGTAGCTGGCTTGGTTACTTCTGTGTGTTAAGGTGACTACGGTTGACTCACAAGTGCACCTGTGGATGTATGTCCCAGCGTGAGGTCCTCCTCCCTTGCAGAATCAAGATGTCACATGGGGCATGGCAGTTTGTGCCTGTAATCCCAGCACTCAAGGAGGATTACAAGTTTGAGGCCAGCCTGGGCTACACAAGAGCCTGTCTCCTAAGGGAGAGGGAAGATGCCTGTGTATTCTCTTACCTACTGTCAAAAGACAAAGTATTCCTGCCAGCATGAAATCCTGTGTCTCAGTTATATGTACCAAAGAGCAAGAGACAGAGAGACAGGCTGGAATTCGCAGCAGAATATTAACACGCTTCTGCTCTCTGGGGTTTCTCTCCGATGAATCCCCCAGACTCTTGGTGACTGAACCCCAGGCACTCACCTATCATCCATGCATATGTGGCAATGTCCCTGTCTTACGGTCTCTGCGGAGGGCCGGGTCGTCGTGGCTACGCAATAACTGTTTTCCCATCCGTCCGTGTCTGTGTTTTGGCGTAGATAAAGACATGGCGCTCCCCACCCCGTCTCTGGGGGGGTATGATGTGATTGTGGGGGGGAGTGAACTTTAACGTTTATGGCTTCCTAGTTCGCATTTATTTGTCTGCCCTTGTCAGCACTGACATGTGCTGTTTGGTACTCAGTACCCAGTCTGCTGAGGTTTGTTTGTCAGTATTAACGTCTGTGTACACTGTTTGGCCAGGTGTTTAGAGTGGATGTGTGCAGGTCGGATTGTATGTTTATGTCCCTGCCCAAACTGGCTGGGGTGTATGTGTATGTGTGTGTGTGTGTGTGTGTGTGTGTGTGTGTGTGTGTGTGTGTGATATGTCTCACTGTCAGCCCCCATATGATTACCAGTAAGCCCCAGAGGGTTTATGTCACTGTGTTTGGGACAGCATCCGCCCTGTGAATGGTGTATAGCTTGCCCAGTGCTGTATTTCTGTGTTTATATTTGTGCTAATAACGGTCCCTGTGTATTTAAGAGTGATTCACTGTCGGGGGAGGGGACGGTGCTTTGTGAAGGAATTTTGTCAGTTTGTGAGTGTGTGTGCCTCTCTGTCCCTCTCCATCTGAGCCAGGGCGTGTCCTCCTCTCTCTCCATCTCTCATTCCCTTGGAAAAGCCAAGGGTGGGGGTGAGCGGGTGGGGTGGGGGCGGGGCAGTACATCTGGGAAACACATCTGGAGTGCACAGGCTCTTGTGGAGCAGTGCATGGGGTGCCGGAGGAGAGAGGGGTCCCAGACCCCTTAGGAGAGTTCATCCTAGATGCCTTATTTGAGACGCAGCTTCTGGGATATGAGAATGGGGAATCCCACGCTGTGCCCCCCCAGGACAGGCCGGAAGTGGAGGGTGGGGGGCGCCCCGTGACTCAGGCGGGGGCAGGAATGCTGCGGTTGGAACAGAACCTAACTCCAGAACCGCCACCCGCCTTGCCCCGGGGCTGCTCCGGCTGGTCTGTGGCGCCAGCTCCCGCGTAGTGGTACCCACGTGCCAGGTAGCTGGACGGGACCCAGCGCTCGCCCCCTTCGACCGCCCTCCCTGAGCCACGCATCGCTCGCTTCTCGGGCCGCGGGGGCTGCGGGCGCTTGCACCTGACCTTGGCGGGATGGCAGGCCTCCCCTGCGGCAGGCTGCTGCGGCTAGGACGCTTCCCTACCCACCCCCTTCCGGCCTTCGAGACGGATTTTCCCCGGTTCCACTCCCTCTGCTGACCGAGAAAAGGAAACTTTGTGTCTGGCTAGCGAGGCCACCCTCCAAAATACCAGGTGGAGGGGACGCTGCGCTCGCACAAATGCAGATGCCAGACTCGTACAGGCACACGATGTCCCCAGACTTACACGAGCCACGAAACACAGATGGAGGCACGCACATCCATCCAGGTCCACCACGCTCAGAATGGCAGGCCCAATACTAGGGCCTTCACTCGTCCTCCACATTCGACACTCGCGTGTCGGGAGCCCTGCACAAAAGGGCATTGCATACCTGTGCGTTTGCATGCCTGTGTCTGGGGTGTTCAAATTTGTACTTTTGTGTGTGTGTGCATAGGTTTACACACAGAAGGGGTGGGCACACAGAGCCCAAACGAGGGACTCACACAAACATCTTGACCCACAAATCTCTCGCCCACACAGACATTAACTGGCTTGCTTGCCTTTTACATTATACAGGCCCCTTTATATCTTGCACACCCAAACACAGATGCACACTCGTGAGTTCATTTGCTTGTTGGGTTTGGTTTTGCCTGCCTCTAATCCCAGCTACTCCAGAGGCTAAGACAAGAGGGTTACAAGTTCAAAGCCCTTCTGCACTACAGGATCTGCTCAAGTCAGTCTGGGCGACTCACTGAGATCCTGTCTCTGGAGAAAAGGTAAAAGGAAGGCCGGGGTTGTAGTGGTCATCTGCCTAGATCCGTCGGGAGGAGCTGGGGGTGCGGCACATCTCACTGGATCAGCATACACAAGGCCCTGCACTTAGAGATGGTTTAGCCAGTAAGAATGCCTGCTGCTCTTGAAGAGGACCTGAGTTCAGTTCCCAGCACCTACACAGGCCAGCTCACGACCTCCTGTACTTTTAGATCCTAGGAACTCCATGCCCTATTCTAGTCTCTGAGGGCACCTGAACACCTGTGGTACACACGCGCGTGCGCGAACACACACACACACACACAAATCTTTTAAAAAGTTACCCACTGATTCAACAGACATTTGTGAAGCACCTACTGTGTGCCAGGCCGTGCTGCCACCATAAGGTTACTCAAACAGATGATCACTGCTCTCCTAGAATGACATTCTGCTTAGGGAGAGCCTTAAGGAGTGTGATTCTTGGGTAACGTGTGAAACATTCGGACAATGAGGGCAGAGAGCAGAGCACAGGAGGGGCAGATATGGAGGCAGGGACAGGGTAACTTAGGTGTGTCATGCGAGAAGAACACGTGAAGGAGAGAAAAATAACACAGACATCTGTGTGTATGTGTGCACAGCATGAGTGAGTGTGTGTGTGTGCATAGCATGAGTGAGTGTGTGTGTGCACAGCATGAGTGAGTGTGTGTGTGTGTGTGTGTGAGAGAGAGAGAGAGAGAGGAAACAGGTGTAGGAGACAGATTTATCAGTGATCAAACACAGTGTTCATTGGTTCACTGAATGTGTCTCTCTGTAAATCCGTGTAGGCCTGTGTGAGCATGTGTTGATACATTGGTCCATGTCTACAAGGGCCTGGCCCCCTTTCTCTGCAGTAACAGGGATTGAACCCAGGGCCTTCCACACTATAGAAAACTGAGCTACATCCAGAACCTTGCTTTTTTCGATATTTATTTGTTTCATACATATGTGTGTGTGCCTGAGTGTGTGTGTGTGTGTGTGTGGACTGTATGCATTCTGGGATAATGGAGGTCAGAGAAGGCATCAGATCCCCTGAAACCGGAATTACAGGCAGTTGTGAACTTCCAGGTGGGTGCTGGGAGCTGAACCCAGGTCCTCTGCAAGAGCAGTCGGTGCGCTTAACCACTGAGCCAACTCTCCAGTCCCTTCCGATCTATTTTCTACCATCTGAGTTTGAGACAGAGTCTTGTACTCACTCTGTCAGGCAGGCTTGAATTTGAGATCCTCCTGCCTCAGCTTGCTAATTATCTGGGATAACATGTATGTATCATCTGGGTTGGCAAGTGTGAATACTTCATGTGTCTGAATGAGTCTGTGTGAGCTGAGTGTGTGTTTCTGGGTACATGTATGTAAGCATATGTGTTTCTCTGTGCACAGTGTATGTGTGAGAGACAGAGAGAGAGAGACAGACAGAGACAGAGACTGTGTGGGCCACTATCTGGGTATGACAGTGTAATTATGTGAGCCTATGTGGGCCATGTGTGGTCATGTAGTGAGGCATGGACTGGTCTCTGGGAATGGAGTCCCTGCTCCTGACATGTTACTCTCTTTCCCCCACAATCCCACTCCATGCAAATATGAGGTGGGCTGGCATGACATGGCCAGGTCAGGCAAGGTGTGTGGGTTCAGCACAGCCTGGGAGTCTCCCCTCCCCCACCCCAACACTAGAATTTTCTCATCCTCTTCCCCAGGTCTGAACAAGACATCTTCTTTCTCCTGTGAAGCCCACAACGCCAAGGGAGTCACCACCTCCCGTACCGCCACTATCACAGGTGACAGCAAGAAGGTTCAGGGATCTTGGGGATGGGGATGGGGTGGGCCGGGGAGGCTGGACCAGGGGTCAGAGAAGGCGGAGGGGATGTGGAGAGCTTTGGGGGAAGGTTCCCAAGAATCAGCCTTCCCTCATCTGTCCACAGTGCTTCCCCAGAGGCCTCACCATCTCCACGTGGTTTCGAGACATCCCACGGAGCTAGAGGTAGCTTGGACGCCTGGCCTGAGTGGCATCTACCCACTTACCCACTGCAACCTGCAGGTGAGACCCTGTGACTGACTGCTTCCGTCTCAACCCCGCTTCCGACCACACCCCCAGGCCCACATCTTCCCTGTGAAAAACCAGGCCTTCCACACCGCTGAGTGTTGGGAGACAATAGAGACACCCATTGGCTGTGTGAACTTGAGTAAATCCCATAACCATTGTGGGCCTCGGTTTTCCCATCCAACTAGCCAGCTTAAAGCAGTGTCTGGGGATGTATTGCAGCCTGTTATCTGGTTTTTATCTTTTTTTAGTGTTAGTGACATTGACTTTAGCCAGATTGGGAGCTCTGAGCCAGCAGGACTCGTAGCTGTTCCTGTCCCAGCACTGTGCTTACTGTCTTTGCCCTGACCACTCCAGGCTGTCACTGTCTAGAGTAGGTCAGCCCCCTCTGGCATTTGGGCTCTCTGAGGACAGTGGTATTCGTCACATGGTCATTTCAGTGTTGCCTGATGGAATATATAACAACCCAGTTACAGGCCTATAATGCCAGCATTTAGGAGCAAGAAGATGAAGAGTTCAAAGGTATACTGGGCAACATAGCAAGACTGTCTCAAAATAAAAGATTTTTTTAAAGACAAGGTTTCCCTGTGTAGCTTTGGAACCTGTCCTGGAACTAGCTCTTGTAAACCAGGCTGGTCTTGAACTCACAGAGATCCACCTGCCTCTGCCTCCCATGTGCTGGGATTAAAGGTGTGCGCTGCCACCACCCAGCTATAATAAAAGATCTTAAAAGCTGAAAGTATGGCTTAGTGGCAGAGTCCCTGCCTAGAATCCCCCTGTGAGAGGCTGGGGGTGTGGCTCAGTGGTAGAGCCCTTGCCTAGAATTCCTCAGTGAGGGGCTGGGGGTGTGGCTCAGTGATAGAGTCCCTGCCTAGAGCCCCCCAGTGAGGGGTTGGGGGTGTGGCTCAGTGGTAGAGCCCCTGCCTAGAATCTCCAGTGAGGGGTTGGGGTTTTGGCTCAGTGGTAGAGCCCCTGCCTAGGCTCTACCAAGGAGGGATTTTCCCATTCAAGGTATAGAGCTGAGAGATCCGAAAAGGAAAGTGACCTGCGCCCCTAGCTTTTAGAACAAAACTGAGGTTGAGTCCTGGAGTTTCACCGACTTGAAAGACCTCAAATGTCAGGTCAGCTGCAGCTGCCCTCCTACCCATATCCACGCAGCGTCTAAAGAAAAGCAGAAGTGTGTGTCCTTCCCTCTCCAGGTCTCACTTCCTGCTGCCCACAGGCTCAGGCTGGACAGTTCCTGAGGGAGGGCCACGGCTGTCCCAGGGAAAAGAGAAGTGGGGGTGGGTTTGAGCCTACTCTCCGCACCCATCTCCCCTTTGTCCTGGCAGAGGGTTCCTCTTCCCATCTGTCACTGTGGGTCAGAGAGCGGCTCGTCACCCCACCCCACGCCCCGCCACCCATCATTGGCCTGCCTCCTCCTTGGGGGCTATGTCACTTTTGGAAAGCTACTGACCTTCTGGGCCTCAGCCTCCCCATCGGTAAAACTGGAATGAGAACAAGAACTGAACCTCTACGTGGAGAAGAGGAATTGGATGTGTTTGTCCATGAGCAAGCTTAGCACACAGTAGGCACTTGAAAAATATTGACATGAGGCCTGAGGTAGAGTTGTTTAGTGGTAGAGTGTCTGCTTGACATAGATGAGACCTTTGGCTTCATCTCCAGCCATGCCATGGGGTGGGGGGACAAAAGGGGGTGCGGATATGTCTCAGTCACTACAGTGCTTAGCACGCAAGGTAAGGGACATGAGTTTGATCCACTGGACCCACATAAAAGAGCTGAGCACAATAGAACATACGTGTAATACCAGTGCTGGCCAGATGGAGATGGTGGGTCCCTGGAACTCGCTGGCTGGCTAGCCTAGCCAGAGCCGTGAGTCCCAGGTCCTGCGACAGACCCTGTCTCAAAAAACAATGTAGGGCCGGCAGGATGGCTAAGCAGGTAAAGGGGCTTCCTGCCAAGCCTGACGATTTGAGTTCAATTCCCAGGACCCAAGAGTGACAGGAGAGAAATTACACATACACTTTGTCCTATAATACACATGCTTACACTCACAGATAAATAACAACAGCAGGCATAGTGAACATGTCTTTAGTCTCTGCCTCCGCAGAGGCAGAGACAGGTGGATCTCTTGAGTTTGAAGCCAGATTGGTCTATCTCGCAAGTTCCAGGCCAGCCAGGGATACACAGTGACACCCTGTTTCAGGGAGAAAAGAAGTCAAGTTGGGGATGGGACAATTCCATATTACTGTGTTTAAACACAAACTAGTCTACATGCCATTAAACTTTGACATATGACAAGCAGAGTCCCCTTGTCACACAATAAGGGGCAAGATCTGGAGACGGGCCTTTTCCTTCTTTTTCATGTATTTGTTTTTTAAATCAGGGATTCTCTGTGTGGCCCCAACTGTCCGGGAACCCATTCTATAGACCAGGTTGGCCTCAAACTCACAAGATCCAGCTGTCTTTACCTCCCCATTCCTGGGATTAAAGGCCTGTGCTGCCACCACCTGTCCTGATTCTTTTCCCCCAAGACAAGAACTCACTGTGTAGTCCAGGCTGTCTGTCCTTGAGCTGGTGAAACCCTCCTGCCTCAATGAGAGCTGGGATGCTACGTGTGTGTCCCCACACCGGCTGCACAACTGCATTTAGTCTATTTGTTTATTTTGTGGGGTCTTCTTGTTGTTGCTTTGGGGTTTTGCTTATGGGGGTGTGTCTGTGTGGTGCTGGAGATCACTGTGTGTACTCTAGGCAAGTGTTCTACCGTTCAGCCACTCCTCATTTAACCCTTAAGCCTTTCAAGGCATCTCTGATCCTCTAAATGAGGAAACCGAGGCTCAGAAAAGGCAGGAAAAAAAAAAGTCTTGCCAGACGTGGCTTTTGCAAGTGCCAAGTCACGGATAGTGTGGCCATATGGTTTCTTTGCAAATCTGGATGCCCGTGTTGTCCTGTTATGAAGTTACAACACACGTGCCGGCGAACACACCGAGATGCACGTACACTCCGAGACAGATGCACAGACACACACACACACACACACACACACACACGCTCAGAGACCCGCGTGCATATCCTTGTAAAGTCGTGTAGTCACACTCAGACCGCAGTCAAGAGTGCGCGACTGTCCTCTGATCCTCCTGTCTTTCTCCATCCTCAGGCTGTGCTGTCAGACGATGGGGTGGGTGTCTGGCTGGGAGAGCCGGATCCTCCGGAAGAGCCCATCACGCTGCAAGTATCCGTGCCCCCCCACCAGCTTCGGCTGGAAAAGCTCCTTCCTCACACCCCATATCACATCCGGGTATCCTGCACGAGCAGCCAGGGCCCCTCACCCTGGACCCACTGGCTCCCCGTGGAGACCACGGAGGGAGGTAAGACGGTCTTGGGAGGGAGCCGCCATTGTGCTCTGCTGTCACTGCTGCCACCCCAGCTTCGCCTCTCACCCCTTTACCCCACGTGGCCTCAGTCTCCGTGTCCAGCCCCTGGCCCCTGAGCTCTGCCCACTGGCCCGCTCCAGATGTCTCCCCGAGCTTCCGCTCAGGGAAGAGGCTTGCACGGATTGCCCACGCGTGTGCTCTTTGCAACCTGCCCCACTTCCTGGGAACAGGGAGGGGGTCAGGAAGAGGTGGGGGTACCAGCTTCCCTCTTCCATGTCCTCCAGTGCCCTTGGGCCCCCCCGAGAACGTTAGCGCCATGCGGAATGGGAGCCAGGCCCTCGTGCGTTGGCAGGAGCCAAGGGTGCCCCTGCAGGGCACCCTGTTAGGGTACCGGCTGGCGTATCGAGGCCAGGACACCCCTGAGGTGGGTGCTGCTGGCGGGGTTAGGGTGGGATGGTTGTGGGAAGGGGGAAATGGGGAAAAGGTGACAGCGTAGGCACAGACGGTGGTACACATTGCACCACCAGGCCTACTAAGACGAGTTTCGGGGGTCCTTATTGGGTCCACAAGGAAGGGGCTGAGAACGTCTGTTTGTGAGCATTGTAAGAGCACCTCCTTGGGGCTGGGTACTGTGAGTTTTACAGCATCTCAGGGAAGGGGTGCTTCCCTCGTTTATGCAAATGCTTTGTCTGAGCTAGCTGTACCCCAAGGTGGAGAGAGGGATGGGAAGCTAGAAGGAATTGGATGCAGGTGAAAAGATGAGATTTCAGCTCTTCCGTGAATGCCGAGCTGTGCCTGGTGCCAAGCACTGTTTGGAGGAGCTCAAGGTGTGGCCAGGAACGGCCGAGTCCCTGCCCTCTGCAGCGGGCCTCCCAGCATACGTGGGGCTGGAGATGTGGAGACAGGTGGGGAGGAGGGGCTGGGAATGAAGAAGAGAGCCGAGGCTGAAGTCGTAGGAATTCTGGACCTCAACGTCCACCCTTATGTCGCCTCTGGACTTCCTAGGTACTTATGGACATAGGACTAAAGCGAGAGGTGACTCTGGAACTTCGGGGGGACAGGCCTGTGGCTAACCTGACTGTGTCTGTGGCAGCCTATACCTCGGCCGGGGATGGGCCCTGGAGCCTTCCTGTGCCCCTGGAGCCCTGGCGCCCAGGTAACTCCAAAGCCGTACCAGGCCCCTGCCAGCTGCCCTGAGGACTGCCTCTTCCTGGCACCCTTGACTTGCTCTCCGTGTCTGAGTGCTCCGCCGGCTTAGATTCTGTTCCTGCCCTGAGCCTAGCGCAGAGCCCCCACCCCACCCCCTCACTGTGTCACGCCAGCCTTGCCTCCTCTGAGCACGTCTCCCCTCTGTCCTTTCTCCTCACAGGGCAAGGACAGCCACTGCACCATCTGGGTAAGGGCCTCTGAGTCCCCTTCCTTAACCTCCCTTCAGCAAGCAGTGAGGGCCACGTACTTCTCACATCCCCTCCATGCTTCCCAAGCACACTGCTCTAACCCTTCACTTCTTCCATGTCTGTGGTCCGAGATGGAGGTGCCTAGAATGGACAGATTCACGGACACCTGAGTGTGTGAGGAGTGAATGAATTAATATGCACTGGGTGCCTGCAGGAGTGAATGAGTGTGTCGAAACTGGGTTGATAGACACGTGGATGGGTAGATGCCTGTGTGGAAGAAAGGGACTGAAGGATAGCCAAGCACGGTGGCATGTGTGTTTGATCCCAACACTTAGGAGGCAGAGACAAGCAGATCTCTGTGAGTTCGAGGCCAGCCTGATCTATGTAGTGAGTTCTAGGCCAGCCACACAGTGACACCTGTTTCGAAAGAAAAAAAAAGATTGAAGGATAGGTCGATGCATAAGTGGATGGATAGATATATGGGTGGGCATATGGAGAGTGAACTGTTATACACATAGATGAGTGCATATATAGACAGGCCAATGGATGATGGATGATGGATGGATGATGGATGGATGGATGGATGGATGAATGATTGGATGGATGGATGATGGATGACTGGATGGATGATGAATGATTGGATGGATGGATGATGGATGACTGGATGATGGATGATTGGATGGATGGATGATGGATGGATGGATGATGGGTAGATGGATGATGGATGGATGATGGATGGATAACTGGATGGATGACTGAATGGATGATGGATGACTGGATGATGGATGACTGGATGGATGGATGATGGATGGATGGATGATGGGTAGATGGATGATGGATGGATGATGGATGGATGATGGATGGATGGATGATGGATGGATGGACGGATGATGGATGGATGACTGGATGATGGATGATGGATGGATGGATGGACGGATGGTATGAGGGATGAACAGACAGAGCAGTGGAAGGGAGGGAGGGATGGGAGAAGGAGAGAAGAAGGGAAGAAAAGAGGAAAAGGGAGGAGAAGGAAGGAGAGGTTCTCTCAGGTATTTTGTCAGTGATTCTCAAACTCTCCCTACTTACATTGCTCCTCTTAGTACTCTCGCAGCCACCACTTAGAACACGGCTCACGTTCTTCAAACGCCCTTCGCATATCCGCTCATACTTCTGCCTCACCCACTCTCCTCTCCAGCCCATTACAGCCCCTCATTCCTCACACATGCCCATTGCTCACCCGCTTCTCTTTCTGAGACGGGATCTCACTATGTAGTCCCTGGCTAGCCTGGAACTCTCTGTGTAGACCAGGCTAGCCTGAAACTCACAGAGATGTGCCTGCCTCTGCCTCTGCCTCCTGGGCCCAAAGGCATGCACCACCCACCGTGCCCAGCTATACTCAGCGTCTTTGTGAATGCTCTGTGTGTGTCTTATATCCACCGCACAGGACTCAATTGCAAGCACTGAAAAGTGTACGGTCCACATACCTTATAGCTGCTTCCCCAGGAATTTTGTCCACCACCTTAGCCCAAATGCCCTCATCCTTAGCAGTCCTGTTACCTTTCTCTATGCCTCTCTGCCTGTCTCCTCCTTTTGCAGTACACACACACACACACACACACACACACACACACACGCACACGCACACACGCAGGCGCGCACACACGCAGGCGCGCACACACACACGCACGCACGAGAGGTTGGGGTGTCCTTCCATGCTCTATCCTATGCCCATCCTTTCCCCATGCCCTTCCTGAGCTACAGCAAACCTGGTCTCTAGGAAGGAAAAGAAGGAGATGGGGATGTAGGTGGGGTGGCAGAGTACTTGCCAAGCATGCTCGAGGCCCTGGGTCCCCTCCTCAGCACTGTGGAAACCAGGCATGGTGACACATGCCTGTTAGTCCAGTGCTCGGGAGCTGGAAGCAGGAGGATCAGAGGGCAAAGGTCATCCTTGGCGACATACTAACGTCAAGGCTAACCTGGGGTTCATTTGACCCCGTCCCAAAATGAAACAAAAGCTGTGGACATTTCTCATCTGTCTTGTGCCCCAAACTCCTCCAGTGGCCAGCTCGTTCTACACACACAGACACACACACACACACACACACACACACTTCCCCTGTGCACCTGTATGTCTCTCTCCTTCCTGACATCATTGAGCACCCCCCAAAGATATCCCTTGCTTCTTTGCTCCCCCGCCTTGAGCTGCTTGCACAGGCTCCTGAACCGCCGATGTGTGGGTTCTCTCCCTCCCTCACCGGCCTTCCCACACCCAGGTCACCTCCTTGCGCAGTTACCCTGCCGTTCTCTCCCCTGTACTAGTTCAGATGTGTCCCCCCCCCATGTTCATCTCTCCCTCCCTGCATACTCATACCCACCGCACGCACATCTGACATGCTCATACCCACCGCACGCACATCTGACCCCCCCCCACCCGTTTCACACTCCAGCCTCCCTCCCCTGTCACTCCCTCCCGGGCCCCGGGGGACTGGATCCAGGGACCTTAGCCGTGATCTGTCCCCCATACCCCCTGACAGTGAGTGAACCCCCACCTCCTGCCTTCTCGTGGCCCTGGTGGTATGTACTGCTGGGAGTAGTTGTGGCCGCTGCCTGTGTCCTCATCTTGGCCCTGTTCCTTGTCCATCGGAGGAAGAAGGAGACCCGCTATGGGTAAGTTGGAACGCCATGGGAGAGGTTCTGTGGCCGGGGATGGAGAGGCTGGAGTCATGGAAGACCAACGAGGAGAAGAGAGAGAGAGAGAGAGACAGACAGACAGACAGACAGACAGACACTGACAGAGAGAGAGAGAGACAGACAGACAGACAGACAGAGACTGACGAGAGAGACAGAGAGAGACAGACACAGAGAGACCGAGAGAGACAGACAGACAGACAGAGAGACAGACAGAGAGAGAGACAGACAGACAGACAGACAGAGACTGACAGAGAGAGACAGAGACAGAGACACAGAGAGACCGAGAGAGAGAGACAGACAGACAGACAGACAGAGAGACAGACAGACAGAGACACAGAGAGACCGAGAGAGAAAGAGACAGACAGAGACTGACAGAGAGAGACAGACAGACAGAGACAGAGAGAGAGAGAGAGAGAAAGAGACAGACAGAGACTGACAGAGAGACAGAGAGAGACAGACAGACAGACAGACAGAGACAGACAGAGAGAGTCCACACGTGCATGCGTGCCAAGAGTCTGATCGAAGATGAGGAGACCTGAGGAAAAGCAGGAAGGCAGTGCTGGTCCAGTGTGCTCCGTAAACACTAGAGCCAGCCACACAGCTTGGGAGAGCACTGATGCTTGCTGTTGTCCCCACTAGGACAGGGATCCACATGGTTCTGCCCATCCCTCACCTTCCCCCTTCCCCCTCTAGGGAGGTATTCCAGCCAACAATGGAAAGAGGTGAACTGGTCGTCAGGTATCGTGTCCGGAAGTCCTACAGTCGCCGGACCACCGAAGCCACTTGTAAGTGAACTCCATGTCTCCTTCCATTGACGGGTCTGTGGCTTACATTATTATAGTTATATGTCTGTTTGTCTATCTCTCTCTCATTTGCTCTCTCTCTCTCATTCTCTCATTCTCTCTGTCTCTGTCTCTCTCTGTCTCTGTCTCTCTCTCTCTCTCTCTCTCTCTCTCTCTCTCTCTCGGAGAGAGAGAGAAGGAGTGAATGAGAATGAAGCCTGGACTACCCACACACAGCTTTAGAGCAGTAGAAGGCAGAGTGTTATGTATTCTCACCACTGGGGGAAAACAAAAAAACAAACCCAGCTTCAAGAAGAAAGGGTTAAGTTTGGCTCAGAGCTTGAGGGTGATGAAAGGCTCAGGCAGTGGGAGCCTTAGGTGGCTGGTCCGTTTCCATCTGCAGTCAGGATGAACTTCACCTCTGATGAAGCCTTCGTGCTGTTTCATTTCTTCCTTGTATTTGGTCCAGAGCCTCAGCCCAGGGAATGGTGCAACCCGTATTTAAGGTGGGTCTTCCCACTGCAACTCTCAATTCAGAAACTCCCTCCAACTGCACTGCCCAGAGACTTGCGGCCTATGGAGATCTTGCCAGGTTGACATTAACTGTAACAAATAAGTATTTTGGGTTTTGTTTGTTTTGAGGCAAAGCCCAGGCTGAACTTCAAGTGCTTTTGCCTCCGTCTCCCAAGTGCTGGGATTATAGACGTGAGCCTGGACACTTGGCTCTTTCCTTTCCTTGTCTTTCTGTCTGTCTGTCTGTCTTTCTTCCTCCTCCCCCCTCTCCCCTGCCCCTCCTTCTCCTCTTCCTCCTCCTCCTCTTCTTCTAAGACAGTCTTACTCTGTTGCCAAAGCTAACCACAAACTTGCAATCTTCCTGTCCCCACCTCCTGAGCACTGGGACATGGGTCACCATGCCAGGTTAGGATCAGTGAATCTCAGACACAGTAAATCTTTTTTGTTTTTGTTGTTGTTTTGTTTTGTTTTCTCAAGACAGGTTTCACTGTGTAGCTTTGGAGTCTGTCCTGGAACTCGCTCTGTAAACCAAGCTAGCCTTGAACTCCCAGAAATCCTCTGCCACTGTCTCCCGAGTGCTGGGGTCAAAGGTGCGTGCCACCGCCACCTGGCCAACACAGCAAATCTTATTTAGGAACACCAAAATCTAAGAGCCAGAAGCTCTTGGGGGAATGGATGATGATGATGATTATGATGACGATGATGATGACAAGGACAGTGGTGTGACACCCCCCCCTGCGCTTTTCTAAGCATTTTATAGACATCACTTCATTTGATCCTCGAAACCCAAAGGCATGGGTGCCTGCTGTCACCCTCACTTCGAAGATGAGGGAGCTGTAGCATAGTGTAGCCAAGCCATTTGCTCAATGTCTCATAGCTTTGTTAAATGGATGTCAGATTTAAACCCAGCTAATTTCCCTCTGACATCATCTTTGTGTATGCCCTCAAACTTTTTTTTTTGTTTTTGTTTTTACGAGACAGGGTTTCTCTATTGTTTTGGAGGCTGTCGGTCCAGCCCGGCCTTGAACTCACAGAGATCCCTCTGCCTCTGCCTCCCGAGTGCTGGGATTAAAGGCGTGCGCCACCACCGCCCGGCCGCCCTCAAACTTTTATGTACCCAAGATTCTTTTTTTTTTTAAAGATGTATTTATTTATTACGTATACAGGGTTCTGCCTACATGTGTCCCTGCAGGCCAGAAGAGGGCACCAGATTTCATGACATATGCTTGTGAGCCACCATGTGGGTGCTGGGAATTGAACTCAGGATCTCTAGAAAAGCAGCCAGTGCTCTTAACATCTGAGCCATCTCTCCAGCCCCCAAGATTCTCTTAAAGTTCTGCTCCTACTGCCTCCAATTTGTCCTGAAGTGTGCAGTGCGCTCTCTCTCTCTCTCTCTCCCTCCCTCTTTTGCTGAAGATGGTGGTTTCTGTCCCACCAGGTCCCGCTGCCCTTTAACCCCAAACCAGCATACAGAGACATACTATCAAACTACTGCTCAGTGGCTAGGGCTTCTTACCGGCCAGCTCTGTCTTAACTATTAACCCATTTCTATTAATCTATGTATTGCCGCAAGGCTGTGGCTTACCTGTAATCCGACATGTTACTCCTTTGGCAGCGTGGTGTCTCTTCACGGTCCTCTCTGTCTTCCTCTCCCCAGAATTCTCCTAGTCTGGTAGCCCCGCCTACCCTTCCAGCCGGGCCAACCAGTGTTTTATTCATCAACCAATAAGAGAAACATATATGCAGAAGGACGTCCCCCATCACTTTGATCCCTCCCTCCCCCCTCTCCCTCTTTCCTGTGGCTGTAACTCAGGGCCTTGCCTGTTCTAGGCAAGCAGGGTACCACAGATTGACTTTTTGAGGCAGTGGCTCACCATGTAGCTCAGGCTAGCCCTGAACTCTCCATCCTCATGCAACAGCTTCCCACATTCTGGGATTACGTGAGTGTGACACCATAGACAACTTGAAGTCAACACTCCTAACTGCCGCACCTGGAAATGGCCTCTTGAAATTATGGAACACTAGAAACAATTAGTAGAATTATAGACTCAGTCTCAGTCGGAAAAATAACATGCTCAGCACTGTAGCTTCTTACAGTTTTGAAAATATTATGGTCTTAGAACTGAAGACCCTCAGGACCATAGAGTCCCAGAAGGTCCCAGCTGAGGATGGGTGCCACCCAGGAAAGCTCGTAGCTTTCCCGCTGGGGAAACTGAAATCCAGAGAACCAAGGGACGGAGCTAAAGTCTAGATCTAGCACACAGACTGCCAGGGTCCCAGGGGATGCTGGGAAGGTCTGGGAAAGACATTTATTTACAAAGAGAAGGCGACGGCAGTGGGAAGGCTGCAGCGAGTGTTCGGAGTGATACACAGCTCTTGTAGCGGGAACCTGGTCCCGGGAGGTTCCTGAAACCTGGGCTGGACACCCATGAGGTCAAAGTGATTTTCACAGGAGCATCATCACCAAGACGCTGCTTGCTCTTTTGTGCCCTCCTTCTTCATAAACTTCCAACGGAGGGCGTCTTCCTTGGGCTCCCTGATGAGACGATATTGTCAAAGGAACACATGCTTGTGTGTTTTAGAAAGCTGTAGCCAGGGGCTAGAGAGATGGCTAACAGCATTTGCTGGGCTTCCAGAGAACCTGGGTTCGATTCCCAGCATCCCCATGGTGGCTCACACCCTTCAATAATTCCTGTACCAGATTGTCGGATGCCCTCTTCTGGCTTCTATGGGTACTGCATGTACATGGTACACAGATACACATGCAGGCAAAACAGACATACATAGGTACGTACATCCATACGTACACTTTTTAAAAAAAGAATTTGTTTATTTATTATGTTCTGCCTGTATGTATGCCTGCAGGCCAGAAGGCGGCTCTAGATTTCATTACAGATGGTTGTGAGCCATCATGTGGTTGCTGGGAATTGAACTCAGGACCTTTGGAAGAGCAACCAGTGCTCTTAATCACAGAGCCATCTCTCCAGCCCCCATATATACATATTTGTAAAAATAAAAATAAGTTAATATCTTTATTGGAGCACAGTGTCAGATCATGAGAGGCTAAAGTAGGAATATGAAGAGTTGCAGGTTTGTCTGGGCTATGTTGAGTTCAAGGCTAGCCTGTGTAACTTGGTCAGACTGTCTCAAAGAAAAAGTAAAAAGAGGTCTGGGGATGTAGCCCAATGCTCAGTGGTAGAGCCCTTGCCTAGAATCCCTCAGTGAGGGGCTAGGACCATGGGTAGGTTGGGCTGAATATTAAGACTTTTTTAATGAATTGAATACAGTGTCTTCTGCACTAACTAATAAATTTTTTTTTTCGAGACAGGGTTTCTCTGTGTAGCTTTGGAGCCTATCTTGGCACTTGTTCTGTAGACCAGGCTGGTCTCAAACTCACAGAGATCCTCCTGTCCCTGCCTCCCGAGTGCTAGGCTCCTAATAATATTCTTATATGAAGGTTATGGATTCTGTTTTGTTGTTGGTAGAGGTTTATTGTTTGAGACAGGGTCTCAGGATGTAGCCCCCACTAACCTCAAATTCATTATGTAGACCAGGCTGGCCTTAAATTCACAGAGATATGCCTGCCTCTGCTTAATGAATGCTAAGGATGCGTGTTTTTGAGACTGGCCTCTTATGTAGCACAGGCTGTCCTCAGCTGGCAGAGGTTTGCCTGTTTTTCCTCCCTGCGGAGGACTAGAGGAAAGTTATACCATACCTGACCTTACCTATTTTGTAATCACACAACTATAATATTTATGGGGTACAGTGTTCTGGAACACAGGGGGATAATTAGATACTTGTGTACAGCGTGTAATTATCAAGTCTGGGTGATTAGCTAATTAGGCTTCCCATGTCCTCTAAACTCTTGTCGTGTCTTTGTGCTAGTAACCTTCAGGCTCTGAAGAACTGTATTTAACAGCTGGTATAGAAGGTGCTGACCACTTAGGGTGCCCAGTGGAGCAAGATTGTGGCCAGGTTTTTCACCTGGTAGTTGCTTCTATGGAGCAGGTTTTGAGGCTACAGGAGGTGGGACGGGTCAAGTGCTCGGGGCAGGAGCTAATTTTGAACCAATGTGGAAGCAATTCAGCCACATGACGTGGTATGTCCCTCTTGGCACACACTGCGTGAGCACCAACCCTGCCTCGTGGCTCCGCCCTCTCTTTTCAGTGAACAGCCTGGGCATCAGCGAAGAGCTGAAGGAGAAGCTCCGAGACGTCATGGTAGATCGGCACAAGGTGGCCTTAGGGAAGACACTGGGCGAAGGTGAGTCTCCCACACGCACGCATGCACGGTCCCCCAGAGTCCTGAGATTCCTCTCTCCCCAATTCTCAGCCAACTGAAGGAAATACCATCCCCGTGGGTCCCGCTGAGATCCGTGTCTCTCTTCTTCTGCCGCAGGAGAGTTTGGTGCGGTGATGGAGGGCCAGCTCAACCAGGATGACTCCATCCTCAAGGTTGCTGTGAAGACAATGAAAAGTGAGTGTGTGGACGCGTGCGTGCCCATGTGGGGCTCCAGTCCCTGACCCAAGTCTCCTCCCCGTGCCCTGGGAAAGTACCATTTAGAAAACGGAGCCCGTGCCAGACACTTGAGTACAAGGGATTGAATCCAGGGGCACTGCTCTCATGTTGAATGAAGGTCAGATTGACTTAATAATTGAGGCATCAAAATAAATAGACCCAGCAGCGACCGGAAGTCACTTCCACCTCTAGGCTGAAGGGCAGAGGGAGGAAACTGTAGCCAGAGCCCGTGGCCAGGCAGAGTTGAGAACACAGACCGTCAAAGGCTTCCCTGGGAGAGTCAGAACCCTGGTGGCCTGCAATAGCTCCAAGGCAATTCTGGATGTGGAAAGAGTGAGATATCCTGCCTTCTCCCTCTTCTTGTCCGCCCGAGAGCTTGTTCCCACCAGCGTCTGCCGCTGACGGACTCCAGCGAGCTCCGGCAGGGAAGGGAGCTTGTCAGTGAAGTTTTTGAGGAGGACAGGACAGAATGAGGCCCAGTTGTCCTCTTCATTTATCAGCTATGGCCCTGCCTTTCCCAGCCTCCCTTCCTTACTTGGAAAAATCGTTCATGATGTCGCTGTTTTCTAGAACTAATATGAAACAACGAACAAAACGTCAGTGGTGGCGTGCAGTGCATGCTGTCAACATGGGTGTGACCATATCAGAGGGGGCAGGAGCGGGCCCAGAGTCGAACAGCACAAGAATCAAGGGGGGAGTCCTTTTATACAGGAATAAAAGCCTAGAGGGGTCGGGTGAGGCTGGAGGCGAGAGAGGAATGATCTTTTGTGAATTATAAAGGGCTTTTTTTTTTTTTTGGTTTTATGAGATAGCGTTTCTCTGTATTGTTTTGGAGGCTGTCGGTCCAGCCTGGCCTCGAACTCACAGAGATCACCTGCCTCCCGAGTGCTGGGATTAAAGGCGTGCGCCACCACCTCCCAGCGAATTATAAAGTCTAAGGGATCGAGCTATAGGGTCATTGATGTATTTGCATATTCATTATTCATTGTTGAGCATCTCATGTACTCTAAGTTAAGCTGTTTGGGGAGTGGGGGTACCAAGGACTCCAGAGCCTTGCACATGCCCAACAAATACCCTACCTCTGAGACACTTTCCTCTGCTTTTTACACTTCAAAGCTTTTTTTAAATGTATATTGGTGTCTTGCCTGTATGTCTGTGTGAGGGCGTTGGATCCCCCAGAACTGGACTTACAGACAGTGTGAGCTGCCATGTGAATGCAGGGATTTGAACTCAGGTCCTCTGGAGGAACAGCCAGTGCTCTTAACTGCTGAGCCATCATCACTCCAGCCACTTATTCTTCATTTTAAGACAGATTCTCATGATGTGTCTAAGGCTGGCTTACAACTCACAATCTTCCTTCCTCTGGTGGCTGGACAAGTATATACCACACCATGCGCTGCCTCCATGTCTTTAAAACTGGCTAGTAAGGTGGCATAAGCTGATAACCCCAACATTTGAGAGGCTGGGGCAGAAGGATCATGAGTTCCAAGCCTGCCTGGCTACAGACTGAGACCTTGTTTAAAACAAACAAACAAAAACCACAGATGGCTCAGTGGTAGAGCCCGTGCCTAGAATCCTCCAGTGAGGGACTGGGGGCGTGGCTCAGTGGTAGAGCCCCTGCCTAGAATCCCCCAGTGAGGGACTGGGGGCGTGGCTCAGTGGTAGAGCCCCTGCCTAGAATCCCCCAGTGAGGGACTGGGGGCGTGGCTCAGTGGTAGAGCCCCTGCCTAGAATCCCCCAGTGAGGGGCAGGGTGTGGCTCAATGATAGAATGTTTGGCTAGAATTTGCCATGGAGGACTGAGAACATGGCTTATTGATAGAGCTCTTGCCTAGACTCTCCCTCTGGGGGATTGACTTGCATTTGCAAGACTCTGGGCTCTCCCCTCAGTGCTACATAAACAAGCAAACAAGTTAGCACCTATTAGGGATAAAAATCATTTACGGTAAGTAAAATAGTGAATTTGAGTTAGGCATCTTCGGATTCAGGAATAACGCTTGATGAAGATAAGTGATAATGATGCTAGGGGAGGAGGGAAGAAGAAATCCTCCCCCTCCTCCTTCCTTCCTCCCCTCTTCCCTCCTCCCTCCCCTCCTCCCTCTCTCTCCTCCCTCCCCCTCCCTGTCCCTCCTCCCTCTCCCTCCTCTCCCTCCTTCCTCCCCTCCTCCCTCTCCCTCCTCCCTCCCGTGCCACTCACCTCCCGTCTCTCCTAAGTTGCCATCTGTACAAGATCAGAGCTGGAGGATTTCCTGAGTGAAGCTGTCTGCATGAAGGAATTCGACCACCCCAACGTCATGAGGCTCATTGGTGAGGGGGGGGACATGTTCCCTCGGGGCCACCCCAGAGCATAGAGCACCCCCTTCTGTACTGGGAAGATCAAACTTCCAGGCTCCCCAGCCCCGTCTCCTTCCGGATCAGCAAGCTCCCCTTCTTTCGCTCCCTCCACTTGGAATGTGACCTCTAACCCTTTCCCAGAAATAGCTGAGGTCCCCAGGAGGGCTCTGGAAACGTCCTTGGGAAATAAATGGCTTTTCTTGAGCGCCATGTCCTTCCCACCCATCTCCCAAACAGTGTGGAGACTAGATTTGAGGGGGTGGGAAGAAGGGGAGGCTGAGCCTGCCTGGGAGTGGGGCTGGGTTCCCCTCTTCTGCCCAGCCAGAATGACAGATCTCCCTTGGGGCGGGCTTCAGGTGTCTGCTTCCAGGGTTCTGATCGAGAGGGTTTCCCAGAACCTGTGGTCATCTTGCCTTTCATGAAGCACGGAGACCTGCACAGTTTCCTCCTGTATTCCCGGCTTGGGGACCGGCCAGTGGTGAGGGGCATTCCCTCTTGTGTCCATAAGTACTCATTGCACGCCTACCAGCTACGGAGAAGGAAGGCGACAGTTGACCTCAAGCCTGTGGATCCTGCACTGCAGGGGCGGACACGGCAGTAAATAAGCTAACAGAAATAAGCAAGGGCATTCAGTGCCATGAAGGAAATGCACAAGGAAAAGATGATAAGGAGGCCTTGGGATTAATTTGGGTGAAAGGAAGGGGGCCTTGAAGGAAGCGCTGACTGAGGAGATATTGGGACACTCGGGCAGGAAGCAGTCCCGAGACCAAATGCTTAGTGTGGCCCAGGGTCTGAAGAACAGGAAGGGGCCCCTGGCTGAAGTGCATGTCGAAGATTAGGACAATAGTCCACCAAGTCAGAGAGGGGTAGATTTTCTAAGACCCTGTATCCATGGAAAAGTCGATGCTCTCAAAGCCAGGGAAAACCACAGCAGATCCAGCTTGGTTCACAGCCGGAGGGAAGGCGGGCTGAGGAGTGAAGCCCTTTGGTGACTCTTTTGACCACGCCCTCTCTCGGCCTTGCCTCCCCCCCACCCCCACCCCAGTTTCTGCCCACTCAGATGCTGGTGAAGTTCATGGCTGACATTGCCAGTGGCATGGAGTACCTGAGTACCAAGAGATTCATCCACCGGGACCTGGCTGCCAGGAACTGCATGTGAGTAGCTTGTCTGCTGGAAGCCCCGCCTTCCTCAAAGAGCTTCTTCCTCCCCCCTTCCCCAAGAGGAAAGGGAAACTGGAGTCATCGGGGATGGTTGGAGCCCCAGACAGGTTTAGAAAGGCATGGTAGTCAACTTTTCATGGCTGTAACAAAAGCAAAAACGAAAACCAAGTGAAAGATGGATTTCAGGGTTTCTGAGATTCCAGACCACGGTCACCTGGGATGTCCCGGGTGGGAAGGGTTAGGATTGAGACAGACAGCAAGGTAAGTCAGAGCTGCTTACCTTGTGGGTGCCAGGAAGCAGAGAGGCACAGAGCCCCAATGATCTGCTGCCTCCAGCTAGATACTGTCTCATAATAACCACTCAGCTGTGAGCTGGATCATGGTAAAAACATGTCTTCTTAACTGGTAAGACAGCTCTCCAGGCTCACTGCTTTTTTTTTTTAAAGATTTACTTATTTTATGTGTACGAATGTTAACCACATGAGTTATGGATGATTGTGAGCCACTATGTGGGTGCTGGGAATCAAACCCAGGTCCTCTGCAAGAGTAACAGGTGCTCTTAGCCACTGAGCCATCTCTGCAGCCTTCCTTCATAGTTTGCTTTCTGGAAAAAGGGCTTCATACATCTCGGGTTGGCCTTAAACTTACTACATAGCCAAAGGTGACTTTGAAATGATCCTTCCTCGTCTACCTCGTCAAATGCTGAGATTAGAGATCCACGCCATCATTCCTGGATTGTTTTCGTTCGTTTGGTGTGTGTGTGTGTGTGTGTGTGTGTGTGTGTGTGTGTGTGAGCACGTGCACTCTCACATGTGTTGAGACTACACATTTATGCTACTCAGGGTGGCCAGGAACTCATGATGTAGCTCAGGTTGACCTTGAACACATAATCCTCCTGCCTCGGTCTTCCAATTGCTGGTGTGACAGGTGTGTGAGACAACCACTTAAACGACACATTTCTGTGTATTTCCTATACATCAAAAGAACTTAGCCGGGCGTTGGTGGCGCACGCCTTTAATCCCAGCACTCGGGAGGCAGAGGCAGGCGCATCTCTGTGAGTTCGAGGCCGGACTGGACCGATAGCCTCCAAAACAATACAGAGAAACCCTGTCTCATAAAAACCAAAAAAAAAAAAAAAAAAAGAACTTAATAAAAGGGGGTAGGGCGGTACTGGAGAAATGGCTCAGGGGCTGAGAATGCTTACTGCTCTTCCAAGGAGGACCCAAGATCACTTCCCAGTACCCACATCATCAGTTCACAACTGCCTCCTGTCACTCCAGCTCCAAAGAGATCCCTCACTCTGGCTCCTCCCTGCACCTGTGCTCACACACACAAACCCACACGCAGGAATTCACACACACACATACATAATTGAAATAATAAATAGTTTTTAAAATCAAAAACAGAATAGGGACTCAGAAGTTTGGAAAAGATCTCAAGACTGACAAAAAGCTAACCCTGAAAAATCTTCTAGGAGTCCTTTTGTCCAGACCCAGCCTAGCAGGAAGAAGTAAAGCATTTCCCTATGGGACTGGGGTGAGAGTTCAGGAGTCAGACCCCACCCCCACCAGGACCCTGGGGTCAGGTGGGAGGCAGAGGTGTTTCTGAGACCCGGCAGGCTTCCTGGTGGAGGTGACCCACATCCTGACCTTATTGCTTCCCCCAATCTGAACAGGCTGAATGAGAACATGTCCGTGTGTGTAGCAGACTTTGGGCTCTCCAAGAAGATCTACAACGGGGACTACTACCGCCAAGGGCGCATTGCCAAGATGCCAGTCAAGTGGATTGCCATTGAGAGTCTGGCAGATCGAGTCTACACCAGCAAAAGTGACGTGGTGGGTGTGCTCTGGCCAGGAGCGAGGGGGTAACCATGCAGTGTGGGGTGGGTGACCAGACCCGAGGAGCCGCAGGGCCTCTTTGCACAGGGCCCTGTCTGCGGGGCCTGGACATGTTTGGGGAATGTATGAGTAGCATGTGTACATGGCTCACCTCTGCAGGGTGGCAGGGTGACACTTTAGGAGGCAGTGGTGACCAACTGTGCCATGCAGTGTGTGCAGTGTGGGCAGAAAGTGACATCATGTAAATGTGTGCATGGGTGTGCATATCTCTACATCCTCCAGTCAATCACCTGTGTGTGTGTGTGTGTGTCTGTACCTGTTCTGTGCACACCTGTGATATACCCGTAGATACTGCTGTCAACAAATGTTGAGTGTGTGCCTGAACTTACGTGTTGGAGAAACCCTCTCACCCCCTTCCCCTACTCTGGCAGTGGTCCTTTGGAGTGACAATGTGGGAGATCGCTACCCGAGGCCAGACTCCCTATCCAGGAGTGGAGAACAGTGAGATTTACGACTACCTGCGCCAGGGAAATCGCCTGAAACAGCCTGTGGACTGCCTGGATGGCCTGTGAGGACCTTTGGGACGCCCCAGCCCCACCCCAGAATTTATTCCAACCCTCATTTACCCACACAGAGCACCCAACGTCTCCAAGACTGGCTAAATGCGCATGGAATTCCTCAGAATACTGAGAAACCCATTCGCCTGCCGCCAATGCTCTAAGCTGTGTCACTCCTAGTCAGCTAGTGGGGTACAAGGTCGGTAAAGGGGCCTTTACAGCTCTGCCTGTTGTGTGGGGTGTAGGCTGGGTCAACCCCTTCCTGCCTCAGCCAGGTATTCTTAAACAACTGCACACAACCTTCCTGGACAGCCCTGGCCCTGAGATGCCAACCTCCCATCGTCCCTCCCATGTGCTCCATGTGCCTCAACACCCAAGGCCCTTTGCAAAACCCTCTATTTATTGACTTTCTCCAGACTCGGATCTCTGAGCTGCTAGCAGGATCCTTTGGCATATGCTTATCAACCTTTGTGGCATCTCGGCGTGCAGAGAAGGGTGTGACATTTAGCCAGTGTCTTGAGGTTAAAGAGAGGACATCGCTTGGGTCAGGAGGAGACGGCCTGGGATTCAGGCCCCCCAGGGTTCCTTTGGGTACTCCCAGAGCCGAAGAGGATGAGATGAATAGCTAATCGTTTACAGAATTCACTGGAAGGCGATGATACATGTGCTTTGCTTATTGACTCGTTGGATCCCTTCCACGGGCAAAGGAAGTAGGCAGGCATCATTGTTTCCCCCGTTTTGCAGATGGGAACACTGACGTCTACGGGGGTTGGGGGCACATCATTTGCTGCTGTATGAGGCACTACACTCCAAAATCTAGTGGTTTAAAGTCAGTAAACATTTACTCCAAGCTGTCTGAAGATCAGGGTCTGAGAGCAGCTTAGCAGGGTGGTTCTGCCGGTCTGTAACAAGGTTATCAAGGTAGCAGCTGGTGCTGCATGTGAAGACTGGAGACAGGAAACCAATTTTTTTTTTTTTTTGGTTTTTATGAGACAGGGTTTCTCTGTATTGTTTTGGAGGCTATCGGTCCAGTCCGGCCTCGAACTCACAGAGATGCGCCTGCCTCTGCCTCCCGAGTGCTGGGATTAAAGGCGTGCGCCACCAACGCCCGGCTAGGAAAACCAATTTCAAGATGGCGCCTCACATGGCGGGAGCAAGAAGCCTGTTCCTTACCGTGGGGACTTTTGTAGGGCCGCTTGAGCTTCCTCGCGTGACGATCCAAGAGAGTGTGCAAGGGGTAGCCACAACACCTTTTATGACTTAGTGTTTGAAGTCACGTGTTCCATCCCTTCTGCTGAGCCAGAAGCAAATCCCTATACTCAAGGGGAGGGGCCTTAGTCTCAAACTTTTGAATGGTGGAGTATTGAAGAATATGAGGTCCTAAGTAAACCACCTAGGAGACTTCTAGTTCATCCTAGATTCTCGTAGGTTTCCTCCACCCACGACATGCTTGGTAAATGGCAGAGTCAGGCCTTGTTCTGAGAGGTCACTCTGGGAAGCTTGGCCCTCAAACCCTCACTAAAAACTACCTGAGACCCAGAGAGGTTTCCCGAGATCTTTCCTAGTTTCTATTTCCTGGGCCACCCCAGGCACTTGGGAATTTTCAAGTCCCTGTGGATATCTCTAAGTTGCTGAGGTTCTCTGTAGTCCCCCGAGTCACCCCAGTGTCCCCCAGCCTCCCCTGAACTATAATGCTCCCCTTCTAAGCCCATGTTCAGCTGGATGCCCCTTGTTTTACCTCTTTAGGTATGCCCTGATGTCCCGGTGCTGGGAGCTGAACCCTCGAGACCGGCCAAGTTTTGCAGAGCTTCGGGAAGACCTGGAGAACACGTTGAAGGCTCTGCCCCCTGCTCAGGAGCCCGATGAAATCCTCTATGTCAACATGGATGAGGGCGGAAGCCACCTTGAACCCCGCGGTGCTGCTGGGGGAGCTGACCCCCCAACCCAACCTGATCCGAAGGATTCCTGCAGCTGTCTCACTGCGGCTGACGTCCACGCTGCTGGACGCTATGTCCTTTGTCCTTCCACAGCTCCTGGACCCACTCTGTCTCCTGACCGGGGCTGCCCAGCACCCCCAGGGCAGGAGGATGGAGCCTGAGACAGTCTTCCACATTCTCGGATACAGGCGGCGCAGGAGGCGCGGCACTGGGACACCCTCTCAGGATCCAAGCTAGGCACTGCCACTGGGGGGAAGCTCACCCCCGCTTTGCCACTCCGGGCCTTCTCCCCAGCTGCAGCATGGCCTTCCCTCCCTTCTCCAACTCAGCGCAGCAGAAAGACATGTCCTGCTTTCTGTGCCATAAACATCCTAGCCATAAAAAGAAGGGTTGGGCTGCAGTCTCGAAGGATCTTCTCAGATCTTACGTCCCACCATTCTAGATTCTAAGGTTGGAGTCTAGATTTCAAGGTTCTAGGTCTCAGAGGTGATGAGGAGTCCTCGATGCTAAGGAACCGAGATGCTGGTTTCTAGGTCTAATGTGCTGTTGTTGTAGACATGGCCACTGTCTGGAGGCTCTGAGGTTCTAGATTTTTCTGGTTCTAAAATTCTTGGTGATGCCCCCATGGTTTTTGGTTGTATGGCTCTGAGATCCTGGGATCTAGACTTTATTTTTCTGGAGCCTGAGGTTCTATAAGTGGAAGCTTTTAGGTTTTGAAATTCTAAAGATTCTAGGTGTGAAGGTTCTAAGGCACACTGTTCTCAAATTTAACAGTGCTGCATGTCATAATACTCCAGACCATAATGTTTCAATTCTTGTTTTCTTAATTCCTAAGATTCCAGTGATGGTGAATTACAGCCTCCAAGACATTAACATCATAGATGCTTTTATGTAACATCTTGCATCTCAAGGAAATATGATTCTATAATCTGAAATTCAAAAGCTTTAAGAGTCTCCAGCCTGAGTTTCTAAGTTATGATGTGATGATGACCTAGAATGTGGTCCAAGGTTCTAGATTCTCTAAGATTCCATATCATATGCTCCAGGATTACAGATCATTGAACTCTAAAGCTCTGATGATGGCCTCCTCTTGATCTCAGGCACTGTAAGATGCTGTGGGTCCAAGACTCTGGGTCCTAAGAGGCTCACAGTTAATTGTGACTAACTAGACACCAAAGTTCTAACCATTCCTAATGCTGGACACCTCTAGGTTCTGTGCTGCTTTCTGCCTTCCTAGCACTTAATTAAAGGCCAGAGAAGACATACTTCTAAAAATATTAAGGCTCTAAGCACTCTAATTTAGGAATCCAATGTTCTTAGTGTCTAAGATTCTGAAGGTCCGCAGGTCTAGAATATCAGGTACGAAGCCAAGGTTGGAACCTTGTAGCATTCTTCTCTAAGCCCTTTCCCTCCTTAGCCACCTATGCTTCCTGCCCATGGTGTGGGGTGCACCCCACCTTAAGCCTGTGCAATGCATTGGGAATGTCTTCCCTTCAAGCGATGGACCATCTTCCCTCCTTTTGGGTCATGCTGTCCCTTGAGCCAATCTCTCATCCCTGTCTGAAGTATGGACTCTGGTACCTCCAGAGAGGCTCAGATCACATAAAACTTTTGTCAATCACTGTTTTGTCTCCTGTCTCCATTCAGCTGCAACATGGCTGCCCTCCTGGAGGTTCCGTTTCCCTATTAGAAAAAGAGGGGCTGCTGTGTGTAGAAGCTCAGGCCTGTAATCCCAACACCTGAGGGGCAAGAGGATGGAGAATTAGTTGTAAACCATCATGACTTACATAGAGACCCTATCTCAGTTTTGATGGACCTGGGAACATGAACCATGCACATAAGTAAATCTATACAACTGAAGAAAGGCAGGCTCTCAGAAAGCCCTGAGAGATGTGCATACATGCACACGATATACACATGGTAGAAATTGTGTATATGTGTATGTATACACACACAAATATAGATGGAGACACAAAGAGATTGAGATCCCTATAGGGTCTTAACTCAGAGTAACAGACATGTGAATTAGTAAACATGCACAGGCACACTTAGCCACGAATACACAGTTATTCAGACACAGTAACAAACACATAAATCCACACTGGGAAATCTGCAAACATCAGCAAGCTGGTACTCACCAGCGACAGGAAAAACCTTTAGTAACCAAGACACAGGCAGGACAGCATTATTGCACGCTCAAGAATCAGGTGATGTGTGCCTGTAATCCCCAGGATTTGAGAGGTGTAAACCAGAAACTCCAGAGCTCAAGCTCATTCCCGATTATAGAGGGAAGTCCAGGTTATCCTGGGCTACATGAGGCCCTATCTCAATAAGAAAACAAACATGCCCCGAGCTAAGGAGAACTAGCACAACAGATTCTCACACAGCCAAACACTCAGACTGACTAGGAAGAATGGACCGGAACACCTTGATCCACAGATGCACAAAAGAAAGACCCGCAGAGGACGGTCCAATAGGTCTTCACTTGTTCCTGGGTGTGGCGGACTGCAGATACAAAAACTCTAGGCGGCGCCCGGTCGCCCCCCGGTGGTGGCTCCCGAGAACTGGGTACAGTTCAATCCGGGCCACAAAGTTCTTTTTTTTTTTTTTTTTTTTTTTTTTTGGAACAAATCTTTGTGGGAGCTGGAAGGAGAGAGGAAGTCGGACGTGGGCGAGGGGCGGGGTGTCTGGACTGGAACCTCCGGGCCCACGTGAGTGTCTGTCCCGCTGCTGAGTGGGCGTTGTGTGTCTAGGTTGCTGTGGTGTGAGTGTGTAGCGTCAATGTCCCAGCTTTTGCATGCCTTGTGCCACACCTACACGGCCGTTCGATGCCTTATCCCGAACCGGTGCTTTTGGCCTGTCAACGCCTCTATTCGTTCATAGCGCGATGCTTGCCTTTATCTAAGAACAGTGCGTGTGGCTTTTGTTTGTAGGGGATTGGCTGATGGTGGACGTTAGGCATCGTGCGTCTCGATGGTGCTATGTCACTCAACGTTTGCCTACTGAACTAGGGGCGACAGGTGTACGGATTAACCCGAGGCACCATTACGTGATCCTCGTTGTTCGAAATGGCTAGTGTAGACAACCAAGCAGCAAGACTGAGTGAACAGTTAAGAGGCTTGGAGATGGGGAGCCACGAACTCGTGCAGCTGCGCCCAGAGCGGGAAGGCGCTATCTGCGGTCGCGTGCAGAGCGGCCTGTGCATGCAACTCCGAGAGGGGCGCTCTACGGGGCCATCAAAGGGAGGGGCGCGATTAGCCCGGCCACTTTCCTCCCGTTCCGTTAGCCTAACCCCTGCTTTCTAGCCTTCAGCGCTCTCCGGGGCCAGTTTTTTTTTTTTTTTTCTGTCTCTCGTACAAAACAACCGGGTCTGTGGCAGACGATGAGTAGCAGAGCCTCTCGATCTCTTTGCCGCATTAAACGCCTCTGGATGCGGGCGAACTTTGCAAGGCCAGCCTCTCAAGAACGGCCAATGTAGCAAGCTTTTTCCTAGAGCGCTCGAAGCCGAGACGGGGGGGGGGGGGGGGGAGGGATGTAACAGGAGCTGCGATTGGTGGACAGGTTGTTTTGAAACCGCCCTAACGGCAAGGGGCGGGCCCTCCGCGAACGAATCTCCTTCCGGCTTCCGAGAGGCGACAGGAAAGACGGGGGCCGGCCGGCCGGCCTCTCCTCGCCGCGTTTGATTGGTCGTAGCGATTTTTACCCGCTTGGGGCTCCGCGAGGCGGGGGCGGGGGCGGGAGGCGTAGACCAGTCAGGGTGGGTTTCGCAGGGCGATCCCTCCGAGACCGCATAGCTAACTGCTCCGAATCGTTAACCCAGTCTCCATCGCCCGGCCGCGCCGCCGCCTCTCGGCGCGCGGACGCCGCCCAATCAGGGCTCGCCCCGCCCCTCGCCTTTTCCCGCCCTCCGCCTTGGCCGCGGCTCCGACGTAGGCTAACGCTTCCTCTCCGGCAGCCCCGGAGCCCTCCGAGTGCCGTTCTTTTGAAAGCTGCCCCGTGATTGGCTGAGTCCCCGAGCCCCGCGCCCGTTGCCCTGCGCGCCGGCCAATTGACACCCGTTTGACATCGCACGGGCACGGGGAGGGGGGGAGGAGGAGGCGGCCATTTTGAGCCGCCGCCGCCGCCGCCGCCATTGGAGCGGCCCCCCCCTCTTCCCCCTTCGCCTCCTGACAGGCAAGGTTTAGGGGGGACAGAGCCCTGGGAGGCCGGGCCGGGCTCGGGGGCCGCCCCGGGGGCCCGGGCCATGGATGTGCGCCGTCTGAAGGTGAACGAACTTCGCGAGGAGCTGCAGCGCCGCGGCCTGGACACTCGCGGCCTCAAGGCCGAGCTTGCAGAGCGGCTGCTGGCAGCGCTGGAGGCCGAGGAGCCCGAAGAAGAGCGAGAGCTCGAGGCTGACGACGAGCCGGGCTTACCTGAGCACGGCAGCGAGGAGGTCGAGACCGAGGGGGGCTCCGAGCTGGAGGGGACCGCGCAGCCACCGCCGCCCGGGCTGCAGCCGCACCCGGAGCCCGGCGGGTACCCGGGGCCGGACGGACATTGTGAGAGTGCGCGGGGCCGGGGGGCCGGGGGGGCCGGGGCCGGGCTGCGGGACGCGGGAAGTCGACTCCACGGAGATCCAGGACTTGGTCTGGGGAGCCTGGATCCCGCCACCCGCCGCCGTGAAGGATCAGTGGACGGGGGCCTCGGGGCAGCCTGAGGGCGGATCCTGGCCTCCGGGGCAAGGAAAACCCCGGGGGTAGGGGCGGTAGGGGTTTTTTGTTTTTGCTTTTTGTTTTGTTTTTTTTTTTTTTCTTTTTATTTTCTTCTGTGGCGACTGGAGAGCGGGTGGGGAGGAATCCACATCCTGGAACTGGGAGACCGGAAACTGTTTTTTTTTTCTTTTCTTTTTTTCTTTTCTTTTTTTTCTTTTTTTTTTTTTTTTTTTTTGAGCTGGAGAGAGTCGGAAGAAGCTTTAGGGAAAGGGGTGTCTCGGAGAGGGTCTGGGAAAATGGTGATTTCTAGCTGGGCTTTGAGCTGACAGTCCACTGTTTTGGGCTGGGTCTCAAAAGCCGGATTTCCAGGTAGGGGGAAAGAATGGCCAGCGGTGCGGGGCTGGGAGGATTCTGAGGCTTGAGGATCTCCGATTTTGCCGCCGGATGGGATACGGGAGATGTGCTTAGTGCTGGGTGCTGTGGAGCTGCGGGTGTCCGAGGCCAAGGGAGATGGGCTGAGCCCTCCGATGTCTGCAGATGAGCTTTTAGGGGGATAATGAAAAGCCAGGCCAGGATTGGATTGTGCTCCCCTCTCCCCCGGTCCTGCATTTCAGTCAGCAGGGCCAACCTTGAGGAAAGGCACAGCTTGGATATTTGGTACTGGGAGATCTTAGCTATCTAGTTGTGGCTTCTAGAAGAGGCCCAATAACGGTGGGAAGGAAAGACTGTGTTGTTCATGGACAAAAGAGTAGGGAGTCTAGAGTTGGGAGGGCTCCTAGGACAACACCCGGGGGCTGAATGGCCTTGCATTGTTAGCTATGGATAGTTCTGGAAACACGGATAGCTGGGGTTGGGGAGAGTAAGTTGGTAGCAAGTGGATGAGCTGTGTGGTGGGCAGAGGAGCTTTGTGTCCCACGGGGAGGATGCGGCAAGCAGATGTGGGGGAGGGAAGCCTGGGGGAGTTGAGGGAGAAAGGAGCCCTGTTGCCTTGGCTGGGGGCCTCGGGGAGTATTCCTTTCCAAGACAGGGCTCCTGAGTCCCCAGAAATAGTTACTTGTGTGCTCAAGAGGCTTGGGGGAACTTGACGAGCCAGGAAGTGTGTCTATAAGTTAGGGTTAGAGGGAACTGCAGCCCCTTCAGTAAAGGAGACCCTTTAGGAGAGGGAACCTGGAACTGCACACCTTGCCGTCCGATGTTTAGAGTGTTTCTCTTGAGAAGAAGGCACTGCAGGGCTTGGGACTAAACATGGAGAGAGAAAATGGGGCCTTGAAAAGACTTGGGATTGGCATCTGGTACTCACTTGTTCCCGAGAGGTGGGATCCTGTGGAGGGGACACCCTGGTGAACAGTGGTCTAGGGCTGACAGGTGCTCAGGTCCCTGGGAAGCAGGGAGGAGTGGCCTGTGAGTGTTCCCAGAGCTGAGGAACCCTGCAAGAATGGCTCATGAAGGAGCAGCTAGGGTGCAGCCCTAATCTTGCTTCTACCAGAAGAGTCTTGGGAGTGTGAGTTGATCCTTCAGAGCAAAAACTGTAGGCTCAGGCCGACTTTTGGAGTTCAGCAAATCATTTCCCCTCTAAGCCCGGGGCTCCCTATGTATGGGAATGGCAAGAGTGTCCTCCCGGAGTTGTCGTGAGATCCTGTGTCTGAGGGTTCCACACCAGGGTTGCCTGTTGTTAGGGGGATGTTGTAGAGATGGAAAAGGAGCCAGCATCATAGCCTCCCTAGGCCAGCCTACCACTGTTAGGGAAAGAACATGGGCTTTGGGGAGAATGCTGTCCTGAGGCTCTGGAGGAAACAATGGTTTGAAGAAACCTTGTGTTCCAATTAAGGAGATAGTGTGTCCCCTGTCATGTCATGTCCCCACCCCCAACACATCCACAACAGAATTCTCTAAGCCCCTCCTTCAGGTCCCTCTCCAGCACTTCCTTTATC